TATGCTGGGATGTAGACAGCTCAGCATATCACGGGGTGTTTAGGTGTGTTTTAGGTGTCCTGTCTGTTAGCGTTCAGGAATTGAGTGGGAAGGTCACCGTCCAGCTGGCCTTTAAAGGCCCTGGTTCATACAGCAAAGATCTAGTGTTGGTGGGATTGAGAATTGATGGCCAGGGAGTCTCTCTAAGAGGTCACTGGATGTAAGAGTGGTTTTTGTGCCTGCGAAGCAAGACAGTGATGCTCTGGGCAGGGTAAGAGGCATGTAAAAATATAAGTGCTGGGAAGAAAGTTTCACATGGAGGATATTGGCAATAGAAAATAATAAATAAATGAATAAACAAAAATCCAACAGCAACCCAGAAAAACACCGTGCCCCTAGGGCTGTGATTCTGCTGTTTTTTCCCCTGGAGGTGGATTTAACATTAAAATCCAGCCACGTCTTCCACAGTTTCCTTACAAGTTACGTAGTTCTCCTTCCCTCCCTTGTCTCCCTCCCTCTTTCTGTCTGCCCCCACCCCCAGCAGGAGTAAACAATAGTAACACAGAGGGAACTTGACTGTCGTGGCCTGCAGATACCCATTTTCTAGACTGAGATGAACAACACCAGTTTACAAAGCCTGGATCTTTCTATCCCCCAGAAATCCACAAGAATGTAATTCCATTTTTTTAAAAAAAGATTTTATTTATTTGACAGATAGAGATCACAAGTAGGCAGAGGGGCAGGCAGAGAGAGAGGAAGGGAAGCAGGCTCCCCGCTGAGCAGAGAGCCTGATACGGGGCTCGATCCCAGGACGCTGGGATCATGACCTGAGCCAAAGGCAGAGGCTTTAACCCACTGAGCCACCCAGGTGCCCCTGTAATTCCATTTTTGCATTTAAATATGAGCGTGCACAAAATGACTCTCACCATCTTCAGTCCTTTTCATCAAATACAGGTTTCCCCTGGTATCCAAAAGTAGAGTGCCCCTGTGAAAGCGTTTGTAAGCCTAAAGGGCCTAAAGCAAGAGTGTCCCCCACTTTCCAGAAGTTCCAGTTATGCCACTTCACTTTTACAAAAAGATCTATGTAAACGCAAAACTCCTTTTTGCATAAATGTGAAACTCCTCTTCGGATTTTGTCCAGGTGGTGAAAACAGGTAGTACTCGTGTGGGTCTTTCATAAAAGTCAAGTTTCATAAAGTGAACTTTCAGAAAGTGGGAGCAAGGGCCCATATAAGCAAAGGTTCTGGTCTTGGGAACCACGGATATGCAGACATCCACTGTGGTCCTGCCCTTACTGGCCCCAAGTGGGACTTGAACTTTCATTTCCTAATTCAGCCCACATGGGGAGACTGACCTCAAGAGGAACTTTAGCTTATAGAGATGTTGCCAAATGGACTCAGGACCACTGATGTGACCGTAGTGTATTTGACTCATGACCTTCTCTATTTTTTTTAAATTAGAAGACTCTAAAACCACATTAAAGAAGTATATAGCATAATCCTCCTTGATACTCAATCTTACTGACTGATTTCCTGTACGTTTAGTTGGGGTTGTCTGCTTATCTCTCCCTGTTTATTCCTTCCTTCCTTTTATTTATTAATTATTTATGTATTTGAGAGAGAAAGAAAACACAAGCTGGGGAGAGAGGGAGAGAGAAGCAGGCCCCCATTGAGCAGGGAGCCCGACACGGGGCTCAGTCCCAGGACCCTGGGATCACTACTGAGCACAAGGCATATGCCCAACCAACTGAGCCACCTAGGAACCCCTGCTCTCCCTGTTTCTTGGAAATAATTGAAACCCCAGCCTCTACCCTCCATCTGTAGGTTATATCAGAAGTCCAGAAGTTTTTTTTTTTTTTTTCATCTAAGTAAATGTTCCTAGAAATAGCGACATGTCCTTCCATGACCCAGTAATGGAATGCCCTCCTTTTGAAATGGCTTGAGTTTGTAGCACATATAGACATTTGAGCTCAGTTTCAGCCCTGATTCCCAACACCCCGAGTGCAGTCCTTTCCCCTTTGTAGGTATAATTAAGGTTGCCAACACCCAGTGTTTACAAATAGCATTTTTGTTCACAAATGGTGATTCCTCAGGGGAACGTGTGATCATTTCATAGAGCAACACATTGCAAAGCACAGATCTTGCTCAGTGCCCCCCCCTTCACTCAGAAATTTTGAAATTACAGAGTATATTACGAGTAAGTGACAGTGTGACTTTTTACCTAGTTTCACCTATGCCTTAAGTGGTGTGCCTTTGGGGCCTAGAGCTCATTTATTGCTTCATCTTCAAACCTTTGCTAAGTATTCTGATTGCTAATTAGAAGAAGAAGAATATATATCTTGTCTTCAATTAACTTCTTTAACTGGGATTTGGCTCTGTTACTTCCATGTTTCTCAAAGTTTTGAGGATTATGTACCACCAAAAAATTAACCTTAACCAAAGAAGTATTTAACCAAAAGTTTGTCATCAAATTATCCTCCAGACCAGTGATTCTCAAAATAAGAATTGGGAGGTTGACCTACTATCTTGAAAGGGATATGGTCTCCCTATATCCAAAGCTAAACGGACTCTCTTCTCAAACCTGGCCCCCATGCCCAGTCTTCTATTTTTGATTAAATGGAACTGCTATTTTTAGACCTCCTCCTTTAGACCCCAGGGACTGGGCAGATCCCATTCATTAACCCTTCCTACTTCTGGTGTCACCCTTCTCCCCATTCCCACTTGCCGCTGCCCTCACCCAGGCCCACATGAGTACATTTTTCTCTGGTCCCTTGCCCTCCATCCCATTCTTCGTGCTGCTGCCTCACTTCTTGTAGCTTTCTTTCTGAAGCATTGTTCCAATTTTCACTACTCCCCTGCGTACCTTAATGCGTCCAGTGAGTGGTTCTCACCAGCATGCACCAGAATCCCCCGGAGGGCTTGCTACAGCTGCTGGATCACACTCTGCTGGATCAGAGTTTCTGATTCAGTAGATCTAGGGAAGGGTGAGCTAATTTGCTTTCCTTAGAAGGGTCTGGTGTTCCCCAGACCATCCTTTGCGGGACCTTGGCTCGAGGAATCTGAAGATTCCAGGCTACTCCTGTCCATTCATCCTGACCTCCTGCACGCTCTTTGCCCAGCCAGTGCTCCGTGGAGCCCTTCTGGGGATGTAAGGATAAGACGCAGGGGTCCTTCGGAGAAAGCTCTGTGTCTTATTCCCCTGATGCCCCTCTGCCCCACTGACAGCTGTGAGAGTTCTCAGTGGAATGCTGGGGGAGGGCAGGATTGCTTTTGCAGAGAGACCCCCGAGTGATACCACGCATGAATTCATGGCAGGATGGGAGGCGTAGGAGGCCCTGTCCTAAGCTGAGGTCATGAGGACCTGGGCCACCAAGCTGCCTGTGCCTCCTGGCCATGCTTGATAGGCGCAGTGGGCCAGGCCGGGCCAGTGGCCAGGAGGTGGTTATATGTGGCTCTTTGCTCCTCTCCACCAGGCATACCTCTGTTCTTCCCTTTTTCTGTCACTCCATCCCTTGCTCCTTTTTCTCCTACCATAGCCGTGGTACCCTGGCTCTTTTTGGTGGGCGCCTTCCTGGGTTGAAAAGGCTTCCAATGCGTACTGTAAAGCCACAAAATTACTTCTGAATTTTAATCAGAGTATTTGTTGGAGAAAAGATACAGGCTAAGCAGGACTGGCATTCGTAGTTAAGGCTTGTTATAGGGTGTCTGAGTCATATTCTACACACCCCTCTTTTATAGGACCAATTTTGTTTAGCTGAAGGTAACCCTGGACACGGACACATGGGATCCCCGTTTTGCAGACAAGCAAACAGACTCAGAGATTAGGTCGTCATGACGCATGATTCTACAGAGCAGAGATTTTCCCACCATAGTACACACAGAAAATAACTTCTCTGCTTTATTAAGTAGTGTGTTATAATTAATAATCACGTTTGGAATCATGGCCACAGGTGTTAGCAGGCGTCTGCCAAGATAGAGTGTGCTGATGAGTCAAATGTATCATCGGGTGATATTTATCCCAGAAAACGATTTGCTGCATTAGGTCAAGTGTCAAACACATATTTAGTACCTAGTAGACAATAAAAGAGTTTATATAAACTTATGTAAAGCAAAGAAAAAAGTCTGGAAAGAACTCATTGAACTGATAATAGGGGCTAGTCATTTTTTTTTTCTTAATATACTTTTGTACTGTTCTTTTTTTTTTTTGAAGTACATATATGATAAATTGGTTGCGGGGAGAGCTTACAGGAGATATGAAGAATCCTACCGAAATCCTAAAAAAAAAAAAAAACCCAAAAGAAGAAGAAAAAAAAGGATCCACCAAAGTCTGTCTGGAGGTCATGACCTACGAAGGCTCTCCATGTTGGTTCTTCCCCTGGAATGCTTCTGGTGTCTCCATCAGCAACTGTGCTATCTGAGACCCAGCCCTTTGCTCCTTTCTCGTGAAGGCTTTCCTCTCTGCTTTCTTCAGACCTCACGCTAGAAACAGTCTCTCCCACTTGTGAATGGTCCTTTCCTATAGTACCAGAAGTTCCTTTGTCTTCGTCTGATTTCCCTGGAAAATCAGAAGTTCCTCCCAGGTTATACTGCTGTGGACACGGTGATCAAACAGTGGAAATCATCTCAAAAGGAATACACAGGATGGAAGTAAAAGCAAACAGCCTGTCATTTCCATGAGAGCTGATGCAAGCTCCGTCCCCCGTGCGGTTGATAGTAGAGGCTTGTGTGGTGGTGGTGGCACATTTCCAGTTCTGTTCTCTTCCCCTTATCCGGCCAGACCCCTGCCCAGAGATGGGCACCTCTGATGGCCGTTTGGTCTTAGCCTTGATTCTCTGAAGCCTGCTGTACTTTACCCCAGGCAAATGAGTTCTCTTAGCAAATCCTGCACTTCCATTCGTTCCACAAATACTGAGCAGCGACCCCACAGGGGTCCCTTGGAGGGCCTGGTGGGCACTCACGTTAGGCTTTTTATTTTTAATGTTTTCCCCTAACGTGCTCCTGCGTCTGTGTCTCTTTGCACAGGGTAGCGATGGCGCTCGGAGATCCCCGCTGCTGGATAGCGATGAGCCCTTGGTGTATTTCTACGAAGATGTCAGAACTTTGTACGAAGGCTTCCAGAGAGGCATCCAGGTTTCAAGTAAGCATTTGCTGCACTTGTGTGACTAATGTTCAGTGATTTTCACTGAGAACAAGCGGTCTCTCTTGAGGAAGTCGTATTTGCTCTCATGTTCTATCTCCTTCCACCTGTTGAAGTCCCCTGCCTCCTCCCATACCGTCTCAAGAGTGAACCCCAAAGCACACGAGCCCCTCTGGCTGCTCCTGGGGCAGAGAGGGTCTCATGGTCAAATAGGTTTTCGGCGTGTCCTGGATTTTATGCAGAGTCTCACAGAGATTAGCTCATTATTGGGCGCGGACATTTCCTGAGGTCAAAAGGTTTAATGGGGCCCGATCCAACATTTTCAAACTTACTTGACCACGAGACCCGTATTTTGAGAAATAAACACTGACATCCCAAGGAAGTAGTGTTCTAGGAGAGCCTTTGCAAGTGTGACACACGGGACACGCTCCCACACTAACGGTGGCCGGAGAAACCCAGCCCGCGCTCCTCGGCTCCTGCCTGCCTTTCTGGCCTCTCTCCCTGCCGGGCTCCAGATAGAGTCTCCTCAAGTTTACACCAAACCTCTTGCAAAACCAGCACCCCTCTCCCCTTTCTCATAACCCCACACCTTCGTGCGCTTGTCTCTTGTTTACTGGCCCTCTACAGCGCCTGTTCCATTTCTCCCTTTTCTGTGCCACTGCCCTCGTCTTTCCTTTTCATCTCCTGCCTCGAGGTGAGGTGTTTCCCCCCCCCCAGCATCTTGTACCTATTTCTGTAATCGCCCCTCCAGGGAGCCGAGGCACTCGCCTGCTGTTCTGTCCCACTCACCGGTGCTCCTTGAGCAGGGCAGCTGTCTCTTCTCGCGACACTGGCACATGCTCTGGCAAACAGTAGGTGCTCCATTAATGTCTCCTCAGCTGCCCGCATCCCTCTTTGTGTTTTCACCTCTTCGTTTTGGCTTGTTCCGGGTTACTCTGTAGAAATGGTCTCCAGGATTCATGGTTTGTCGTTTAAATCTTTTGATGGCTAGCTTTTATTTTTGCCACAATTAGCTAGACTGGAGTCGGCTGACAGTGAGGGACTGCGTGCTGTTGCCGTCTCTGGCCCCACAATGTGTTGCAGGTAGTACGCGCTCAGAAGTGCCCTGTTTTTTACTGGCTTCTGGTAACGCTGGATGGATGGCTCTAATGCGTTTTTGACCCAGCGTTCCTGTAGAAGATTCATTAAGCCCCACTCTAAAGGGAAAGCCAACTTACTTCTATATTTTGAACTTGTTCAAATATAGTGTCAGGGTCAGGGTGGGTCATTCCATACAGCCACTTCAAAATATTTGTATATTAAATATTTGTATATTTATAGATGTGTACATATGTATATAGAATCTTTACCACTACCACAAAGTCACATGTAGAAATGTTTTCACGTTTTTCTCAGTGTGAGCAGAGAATGAATTCATCCTGGTAGTCCGGAGACTTACATTATCCTTCTGACGCTCCTCTGACCTCTAGACAGTAACTTTTCAAGAATTTTTTGGTCACTTTCTCTACTTAGAAAATGAAAATCTTATGTGACTGTTACAGAGAAGTTGAAGAAAACAAAGTTCACTCTTCTTAATCTATACTGATTGAAGGAAGCTGTTTTGCAGGTCACTTTTGCCTTCTAACCCCCGCCAGGGAAGCTTTTTTATTCTAAGCCTTTTTTTTTTTAAGTATTTTTTTTTTAAGATTTTATTTATTTATTTGAGGGAGGGGGAGCAGCAGGCAGAGGGAGAGGGAGAAGCAGACTCCCTGCTAAGCAGAGAGCCTGACATGGGGCTTGATCCCATGACCCTGCCTGAGCCGAAGGCAGACGCTTAACCATCTGAGCCACCCAGGCGTCCTTATTCTAAGCTCTAATTTTCCTAGACTACCATACGACGAAGGCTTTATTAGGAGAGTAAACACCAGCATCCAGATAAGGGAGTTGGGAGTTTATTGAATGAAAGGAGAAACCGGCATGGAGTTTTTAAAAGCTTGTCTTTTCAGACTGTACACAGGGAGCCGCTTGTAAGAGGAGGGCTCTGTCTGCGAACCTGTGGATTCTCGTCTCTGGCTGCACAGCAGTATTGCCCAGGCCCCATCCCCGGTCCAATTATATAAAAAATTGGGCTGGGTGATGGACATTGGGGAGGGTATGTGTTATAATGAGTACTGGGCATTATATAAGACCGATGAGGGGCGCCTGGGTGGCTCAATGGGTTAAAGCCTCTGCCTTCGGCTCAGGTCATGATCCCAGAGTCCTGGGATCGAGCCCCACATCGGGCTCTCTGCTCAGCAGAGAGCCTGCTTCTTCCTCTCTCTCTGCCTTCCTCTCTGCCTACTTGTGATCTCTGTCTGTCAAATAAATAAATAAAATCTAAAACAAAGAAAAATTAAATAAATAAAGTCTTAAAAAAAAAAGAAAGAAAAAGACTGGTGAATCACAGACCTCTACCCCTGAAACAAATCATACATTACATGTTAATTAACTGAGTTTAAAATTTTTTTTAAAAAGAATTAAAATTTTTTGTTGTTGTCAGTAGGGCCCGGGTATGGTATTTTTTTAAGTTCCCACTGTCCTGGAGCTGGGGTCTGTAAACCTTTTCTAGAAAGGGCCAGATAGTAAATATGTAGGCTCTTGGGATCACGTGGTCTCTGTCAAGCCTGCTCTGCTGAAGGTCTTAGATAATATGTAAATGAGCCAGTGAGGCTGTGCTCCAGTAAGACTGTCTCCACAAAAACAGGTGGCAGGCTTGATTTGGCCACTGCTTACATACACCGCCAATCCCTGTTCTGGGAGAATAACATAACATTATTTCATATGGTGTGTGTCTGAAAACAACTTCTGGTTGAACTTGTGATGTCCGGCCTGGCCTTTATCACAGCCCCTGTGAATGGCAGAGGGTCTGAGAAGGAGGCCCCTAGTGCTCTTTTCTGTGTTCCTTAAGGCTGCAGTAGAGACAGCCAGAAATCAACGTGAAGCAGTGACTCGGTCCAGCCTGGGTCCTTCCTGTCCTCAGGATTGACCTGTCACGCATCCCACTCCCCCGCTCCAGGGCGTGACTCTGCCTCGTGGGCCTGGCCTCATCAGGGCTGCCGATGGGGCCAGGCTCAGTCTTCCTGCCATCCTCCAGGCCCTCAAACCAAATCGGGACACCTCAGCTGACACTCAAACCCAGAATGGGGCAGCCGTATACATTGTAGTCTCAAAACAGAAATGCAGGTCCCCTGTTCCAGAGGGGAGATGACCAAAAAAAAAAAAAATGCCCTGTAGAAGGAGCTATGAGGCCCAGCTTAACACAGAGCCTGTGTTTCTAGTTAGTTCTGTGGTCAGCTCTCATCATCTGAACATGGCAGCTTTTTCTCTTTTCTTTCTTTTTTTTTTTTTTTTCCCTTTAGCTGGACATTGCTTTGTCTTCAACAAACTGAGCGTAAAGTGAGCTTGGGGTAGATCTGTAGAAGGAAACTCCCATGATTCCAAATATAAATGATCTCAGTGGTACTTTTTACTGTACTAGCCCTTAGCAGGAATACGTAATATGAGTTTTCTTGCTCTCTGCCTATTCAGTACCCAAGTTAGAATCAGGACACATCCTGATATTTCTTAATTTTTTGCTTTTGCAAATACCCCACTTTATTTTCTCTTTATTTTGTATCTTTTCCTCATTTTGTTTCTCTGCCAGTAAGGCTTCACCCATGTAAGTACATTCCAGGTCATCAGAATTTGGGCATTTAAGAGTCACATTTTCCTTTTTACATTCTGAGTTAGAATGCTTTACACTTTTGAAATTTTGAGGGATTCTTCTGAAACCTACACTAGGATTTTTTTTTTTTTTTAACCATGCAGCTGTTGACTTCTTTCTAAACCAATAGGATATGAAGAATTCACAAATTGAGTATCCTTAAAAACTGTATTTGCCTCATATCTTTTAAAAAATATATATATTTTATTTATTTATTTGAGAGAGAGTGAGCGAGAGACGAAACACAGGCAGGGGGAGTGGCAGGGGCAGGGGCAGGGGCAGAGGGAGAAGCAGGGCTGGATCCCCGGTGAGCAGGGCTGGATTCCAGGACCCCTGAGCCAAAGGCAGATACTTGACTGACTGAGCCACCTGGCACCCCTGCCTCATATCCTCTTACTTTTCCTCTTCTCCTGCCCCGTTTAAGGAACAAAATAGAAACAAACAAACAAAAAATCACACCAGAACCCTGGGAGAACACATTTCTAATCTGAACTCCTTCTTATTTCCAATCTGGGGACCAAAGTCTGCAGATACTTTATAGAATAAAGTCGGGTACCAGTTAGAATATTTATGCATGTTAAACCTATTTTTTGTTTTTTCATTCTTTTTTTCTTTTTTTAGATAACGGCCCTTGTTTAGGCTCTCGGAAGCCAGACCAGCCCTATGAATGGCTTTCATACAAACAGGTGAGTTTTCTGGCTCTTTGGGTCCTCACGTACACTGTGGGGCTGAAATCTGTCTGTTCTTGGAGCTACTGACTGTGAGGACTAAAAGCTTACTCCAGGATCTGTGCACTGGGCTAGTCCAGAGCTCTGGGGTTAATATGCAGCCTCCGAAGGGAGAAGTTTTACACAAAGATTTGGGAAAAAATGGTTAAGTCACTTCATTGGTGGTTCAAAAGCACTTTCTTGTAGAACTTAAGTGGGCGCACCGTAGAGCAGAATATAATTCCAAGATAATATTCTAGAAATGTGCTCGAAGCAGGTGACACTCTCCCAAAGCCCGTGAGGGGATAGAAGCTCTCCTCTGCCTTACGGGGTGCTAGAGACGTTTAGAAGCCCCAATATAGAGCAACTCTCTCATTTTAAAGATGACAAAACAGCCTCTAGGAAAGGATGGGACTCGCCCAAGGTCACAGTTGGTCAGTGGCAAAAATGGGACCGGAAGTGAGATCCACATCTTCTGGTCTAGGTAACCTGACCCACTGGAGACTGGCGTGACATGGAACCCCAGGGCAGCCGTAGTGAGTGGTACAGATGTTCAGAGGTGACACCTGCATTACTGTATCAGCACAAAGGAAGCTGGGATCGCGGTGGATTTATTCTTGTCCCTCTGCAGGCCCCGTTGATTCACAGCTGCTGCTGTTTAGATAGTTGCTGACGGCAGAAAGCAGAGCAGGAAGATTTTGCTTTTTATTTGTATCATGATAACAGGACATCTCGAAGCCCCTGCTTCTCTCCCCCGTGGCAGTAGGACCCCAAGAGTGTACAGGAGCCCCTGGGAAGTGTCCAGTCTGCTGCCTTGTGTTTCCAGCACGGCTGTCCAGGAAATGGCTCCCTGCTGTAGGGACAGGTCATCCTGTGGCATTCATGACTACAAATGAGCTTCCTCCTTCCACGTTCCGTGGGAAGGGCGCCCCGACAGCTGGCACACGCTGGAGTGTATGTGACCGGGGATGGTCATGAGGCACCCCGAAGCCGGCCTGGGTCTCGTGCTCACCAGCCCTGCCCACACGGAGACACACACCGTGTTTTCTTCCCCTTCCCTCTTTTGAGGATGAGTGAAATGCAAAAGGCTTTGCTTGCGTAGCTCTTGACAGAGAGCAGAGCGGCAGAACAGCTCCGCGTACCTTCCTTGTGGAAGGAGCGATGCGCTGTGTAGCCCTGGTGGCCAGAGGGAATTCGCGGCTTTCCTTTTGCTTTACCAGAGCCCAGATAAAGCAGTTGCTGAGCTTCTTCATTTTCCCACGTGGTGTGTAAACAGTTGATTGCGTTGGACACACAGTGTTGCATGGTGGGCCTCAGGCCTCACAGATCCCCCCAGTGCTGTCTGATCCCTTCTGTTGTATGCCAGCTGGAAGGCAGAGAAGGCAAGTCTTCCGCCGATTGGATTTTTTCGAGGCAGATTGAAAAATCACTGCGGTTTCTGAAGACATTCATCTGTGTTTGGTACATTTCAGCCAGAGGCTGGTGAAGACCTAAAACTAGACCCGGAGAAGCCAACTCTGGATTTGTACCTTCAAGCCTTTTCATTAGCCTAGTGACTCTTACCTTTGTGGGGCTAGGAGTCCCTTTGAGGTTTCCCAAACAAACGTACAGAGCCTCTGTCTAGAGCTAGAAATGCCTGCGGTTTATCCTGATACTCTCTGCCAACCACGGCGGCGTTTCACGGGCTCCCGTCCCTGACATGCGAGCAGAGGTTGTGAAACAGGCTGTGGGTACGAAAACAATAAGCATATTCATATCATTCTTGCTGTCACCTCACCTGTGTCAGCTTTCGTCCCCATAGGCAGAGCGCGGTGGCACCATGTGCCAGGACAAACAGAGTTCTGGGCCAGAATAGGTGTGGCTTTATCCCACGGGCGTGGGTGTGATTTCCAAGTGCTCTTGAGAAGCCACCAACTGAGAATCAGGAAAATAATCCAAATTTGAAGATTAAAACCAATTTTTTTTAGTTACTTTGGGATAGGAATAGGGAGAGGATGGGGGCAGGTTTAGAGTCCTACCTAATTTTTATGAATCTACCTAGTTTTACTTGCAATAAGAGTATTTATTTTCTTATCTATTTATTTTATGTAAAATTTTTATAAGTTTTTTGAAGGAGGGTGTCCCCCAACCTTATTATTTCTGTTTTTATAGAGAGTGACAAGTTTGGGCTGCTTTGCTGCTCTTTATAACTCCAGATGGTCACAATAATAATAATAATAATAATAATTCTGTGTCCTTGTATTATTTATAATTTTATGAAATTATAGTTTTATAATTTTATGAAAGTAAAGTGTGAAATAGAAATGTCTCAGAAGGCCTAACATCCAGCGATCTGTGGCCCACAGCTGTCAGGATCCAATTTGTCTGCTTTCTAGGAGGAGGCCCTCTGATCAATTCCCTTAAGAGTGAGATCTGGCGAATCATGCCTTGGTTTTACAAACATGTAGAGCTAAGGGAATGCCTGTTTGCTCCGGCTCTCCTCATCGTGTGCTCCTGCTCGCTGGCCAAGGTGTCAGGCTCGGCCATCACCCGGTGAGCTCTGTTCCTTGTGCTGGGCCTGACCCGGCTCCTGATGTCTGTCCTCCCCATTCTAGGTTGCCGAGATAGCCGAGTGTGTGGGCTCAGCGCTCCTCCAGAAGGGCTTCAAGTCTTCCCCGGATCAGTTCATTGGCATCTTCGCTCAGAACAGACCCGAGGTATTGACCATGAGACAATTCTGAGTGTTGTTGAGAGTTTTGGATGGAAGAGCCATTGGGAATTCATACCTGCTTTTGCTCAGGACCTGATTTTGTGCTCTGATCTCTACCGAGAATATGTCTCTGTGTTATTCCTTAGAAAGTGACACAGTTATCTTATGATCTCACTCATATGTGGAATTCAAGAAACAAGACAGAGGATCATAGGGGATGAAATCAGAGAGGGAGACAAACCATAGGAGACTCTGAACCATAGGAAACACACTGAGAGTTGCTGGAGGGGAGAATAGTGAGGGGAAGGAGTAACTGGCTGATGGACATTAAGGAGGGCATGTGACGTAATGAGTAGTGGATGTTATATAAGACTGATGCATCACTGACTTCTACCTCTGAAACATTAACGTTATTAGCAATTATTATATGTTATATTAACAAACATTATGTGTTAATTGAATTTAAATAAAAATATATAAAAATTTTTTTAAAAAGTGCCGCATACAAAAACCCGAGCCAGGATGTCCTTGACCTTAAGTCCAGGGGAAAAGAAAATCACTTTTTGGATTATTGGTTTTTGTTTTTTTAAAACCAGGTTCCAAACAAAAACTTAACAGAGAAGTTGCTAGAACAAGTAGCTCACAAAGAATCTTCTTACCTTAAGGCTTATATGTGTGATTAGAAGAATAGCATGTGTCAATTGCAGACTCTCCTCTTTGCTCTCTGAAAGGTAGGAGCTTGCCCTCTGATCAGATTACAAAGTTGAAACTACCATGGGCAGCGGGGAAAAATACCATGGGCATGCCTTGACCATGAGTCAGCCTTAGTGTGGGTGTGCGGTCTGTCTGTCTGTCTGGCTGTCAAGGGCACTGTCTGGTGCTTCTGCAGACCCTTGCATTAAAGGTCAGTTTAAATGAGAAGCCCTTTTGGAGCTGTTGCTTATGGCATTTGTGAACAGATTAATGGCATAACTTGGCTGGGAAAAATTCAGGCACTGAGCTTGAAGAAGTTGGATTGGTTCCTGTGTCCAAAAGACGTGTGGGCTCCATCCCTGTGCTACCGACCGTTGTATAAATGAGGATGGTTTCCTACAGTTTTATGTATTGGTAAGGGAAAAACAGCATTTTCCACAGCTGGACGGTGACCAGGCTCGTGAAATTTAGTTTCTTTCATTTCAAGTAAAACTCATTCAAGGGAACACAACCCAGATTTTTGCGTGAGTGGAATTTTATAATGAGTCGATCACGAGGACAGGTATTCCTTACTTCACAGAGTAAGCCCCTTCCTGTATGTATCAGCTAGTTTAATAAATGTTTACTGAGCACCTACTATATGCCAGGCATTGCGAGGCACCAAAGCACAACAGTGACTTGGAAGACCGGCCCATAAGCTCCTGCTTTCTCTGTAGCATGGTAAGGGTGGACACAGGGGAAAAAGGATTATGGGAGCTCAGTCAAGGAGGACTTCCTGGAGGTGGCCTCCCAGTGGAGTGTTGAAGTATCTGAGGGTGGGGGAGCCAAGGGAATGTCAGGAACAACCACATGTTTGCATCAAGCAGCATGTCTGTGTTGGGGAAAGAGGCATTTTCTTATGGTAGAGCTTGGAGGGGCAGGAAAGACAGGAGCACATGTACCACACGACCCTGCTGAGAAGCTCGGACCTGACCTCCACATCTGTAGCTTGGAACTGGTGCTGGGAAAGAAAAGGGGGAAAAGTAGTTCGGGGCCAAGCAAACTTAAGTGTGCCATGCTCCTTTCCCACAGCAGCTCTGTCTGTATCTGTGCCGTGTATTGGCGGGCCGCAGGGGATTCGAGGATTCCAGCTGGAGGTGATGGGGCGGGCAAGGATTTTAAGTGAAAGGCTGACCTCACTGTGTCAGTCCGGAAGGCAGAGTAGTTGCCACATGGCCGATGAGTTTAGAGGCAAGGTGACCAGTTACCTTATCATGTCTTTCCTGTATCACTTCTCCGGGGAGATGTCGCCAGAACATTTTTCCTGTTACACAAGCATGTGTCCCTCCTTCCTCAGTTCCCAGATCCTACTACACACAGCCGCCTGGCTGATCTGCAGACCCCAGGGCCTCTGTTATGCTGAGGAGACCTCCGTGGCTGTGCGTTCCCTGGGGAATGGAACCAGTCCCCTCCCGAGTCGCACCGCAGCCTTGCCTGCTGGGCCACCCATGCCGGCCAGGATGCTCGCCCACCTCCTCCCTGCTCTCGATCATGCGATCCCCACTACTGGAGTCTCCTTGCTTTTCTCTCCATCCAAACTGTGCTGCCCCAGCAAAGGGTTGGGTCCTACCATGGGCTCCCTCATTTCCGAGTCGGTCACTCTCTTGTATTGTTAATTATCTTTTTGTATATTTGCATCAGTTCTCCCAGCAAATTGCTCTTTCCTTCTTAGAAGGGAGCAGGTGTTTTGTTCGCATGATGAGTCCCTCAGGGTGCCTGGCACATAGTAGCAGACACACAAATGTGAATTTTGCCACGTCTAGTGTTTCCACTTTGAATCTCTCCAGAGTGTTGTTCTCCTTGAATTAGTTCCATGATGACATCTCGTTTTTCTCTCCCCAACCTTTACTGGTCATCTAGTGGGTGATCATTGAACAAGGATGCTTTGCTTACTCTATGGTGGTCGTTCCCCTCTATGATACCCTTGGAACGGAAGCAATCACCCACATAGTCAACAAAGGTAGGTCTGTGGTCCTCGGGTGGACGTTGGCCTGGTTATCAGCTCGCTTTGGTGGCTTTATGTTGGGTTATATTTGATTTGATAGGGATTTTATGTTTTTTGTTTTTTTAAGAATTTGCTTATTCATTTGAGAGAAAGAGGGGAAGAGAGAGAGAGAGAGAGAACACAAGAATGGGGGGAGGGGCAGAGGGAGAGGGAGAAGCCGACTCCTCTCTGAGCGGGAGCCACCATCGGGCTCGATCCCAGGACCTCTGGATCGTGACCTGAGCCGAAGGCAGACGCTTCACTGACTGAGCCACCCAGGCATCCCCAGGATTTTGTTTAAATGCACACAATTCTTCCTATTTAAAGACTGTAGTCCTTAAAATAACCTGGTATCAGATATGATAGAGTCAGGCTTTTAATATCTCAGAGCTCATTCTTTATTGTATCTCTTCCTTCCTAGCTGAACTCTCTCTGGTTTTTGTTGACAAGCCAGAGAAGGCCCACCTCTTATTAGACAGTGTAGAAAATAAGTTAACACCAGGCATTAAAACCATCGTCCTCATGGACTCCTATGGCATCGATCTGTTGGAACGAGGCAAAAGATGTGGCGTGGAAATCATCAGTATGAAGGCGTTGGAGGTGAGTCATCCTGCCTATTCCTCTGACAGGTGTCCCTGGGGCCATTTTGGTTCAAATGTGGAAATCCTAGCTCTGCTTGGTCATCTCAACAACCATAAAAGACCCAGAGTGGAAATTCCTGTCTCCTTAACTGGAAAGAAGAATTCTACGTGTGTCCCACTGTGAATCCATCACACAGAAAGTGCTCTTGTAAAACAAGTTGCAGTGCCCACACATTTATTCTAGACTACTGACAGGCCACACGGTATTTGGGAGAAATGCGGATTTTCAGTTCAGGCAGAGATTTAAGTTGTTGGATGTCCTTTTAAGGCTTCCATGCCATTTACTCACTGCTTTGTTTCTAAAACAGAGCCAGCCATGGCAATCCACCTCGTTATTTTTTTTCCCAAGTTGCTTTTGTAGCATCCTGGTGAATTCCCAGCATAGATGTCGGATTTGGTTTATTTTTATATTGAATTTCTTAAGATTCATGTTAATCAAAACTTTCAAGGTAACCATGCTAGGAAAATGAACAGGGCCCATATTTAAATCAGTTGTTTGACATCGCATCGTGTAAAAAGCTGATTCTCCAGTAGGATTTGGATTAGAGTTTAATCCCAAGGAGCTGGTAAGAGGAGGATCTTGTCAGGGACATATTGCAGGGACATATTGTAGGCTACATGCAGTAGTAAGTTGTTCTCCTTCCGAAAATGTTATAAATATTTCCCTGGAACTGTTGTAAATAGGGTTTTATTTTACTTACGGTTCTCCTTGGAGGCTACAAACAAGGATCTGTGTCATACCTTTCTGGAGGAACTTAGCCTTCATAGGGAAACTGTAATTTGTTCTAACAGAGTCCTTTTACGTGTACATACTTACACACACGCGTACACACACACAGTAGCAGAGAAGCTGAGTCTGTAAGAACGCATATGCCATACTGTTCAATGGGACAAGCTGGCTTTTTACCGAGCGTTCTTGCACGTTTGCTTCTGCACTTGTGACTGCCGCTCACAATAATGCCATCGTTTCCCCCATCTTTCCTCTTTCTCCGTGACCCCACCACACAAACATGCACACACACACACACACACGTGTACACACAGGAATTTGGGGTGTTTTTCGATGCCTCTACGATGTAGTAATTTTAAGATGAAAAAATTTAGGTAAATGAAGATTGTAATATAAAGTTTATATTAAAGGCTTCATTTTATAAAAGGCGTTCTATACTTCCCTGTGTAATGTAATTCATACTCGGTCTTTAAAAATTTGGTAAGCCAAAGGTTAATTTCCAAGAAGTGGATGTAAAACTGGCTTTATGGCTGGTCCTGTGATCAAGTTTATATTAACAGATAGTTTTATAGGATCAAAAAGAGAAATATTGGTATTTGGAATTTTTGCTTTTTTTGATACTTCATTATGAAAATTTTCAAACATGCAAACAAGTTGGAAGAATTGGTCAGTAGACTACTGCACAGGCCCCAAGCATCCCACAGCTAGTGTTTTAATATATTTGCTTCATCCCCTACATATCCATTACTCCGTTCCTCCATTCATTCCTGAATCTATTTTTTTAATGCTTTTTTTAAAAAGATTTATTTATTTATTTATTTGACAGAGAGAGAACACAAGTAGGCAGAGAGCAGGCAGAGAGAGAGGAAGGGAAGCAGGCTCCCTGCTGAGCAGAGAGCCCGATGTGGGGCTCGATCCCAGGACCCCGGGATCATGACCTGAGCCGAAGGCAGAGGCTTAAACCACTGAGCCACCCAGGCGCCCCTGCATTTTCTTTAAGTCACAAGTTTTTATCACCCCTAAATACTTTAGCATGCTAATCATTAACTGGAATTTGGATTTTCTTCTGGTATAAGTTTTTTTGTTTTTTGTTTTTGGCATTTGGAGCCTAAAGATGGCAACAACTCTTTCATTTTTATGGTTGCCGTACTCTCTTCTACATAATGTCCTTAGACAGGTTTGAGGCTCTGGGCTTTCTTGTCCCATAGGGCAGTCATTTGGATAACGTTTATTCCTGATAAATTAAAAGCCAAATCGCATGTAACTGTTGAAGTTATGTAAGAATTTTGAACAGATGAATGGAGATTTGTGTCTGATGAAGATTCCTTTGGGGAAAAAAATGAAATTACCATTGCTCTAGCTCTTGGTTGACTTTACTGTTCCTGTTTTGAATCAGTGTTCTGTCTCTGATATAATTTAAAACGTAATTAAGATTAAAAACAGTTTAAAACCATACGCCGGGCAGAAACTCCCTGAAACCTGAGTGCACTCATCAGATTTCCACTTAATTCTAGGCATGCTCACTCCATATGCTCATTCAGGCCATTCAGTTTTAATAGGAAAAGAATATAAATGGTTCATTAGAGAAATTAATAACTAATTAAAGTGGCCACCGAGATGCTGTGTGCAGTGAACTGTTCAGTTCAACGTCCAAATGACCCCTGGTAGTGATGGGAGCTAGCCGCTGGGAAATGTGCCCCTCGGAAATGAACCTGCCACTCTTTGTGACCATTCGAGAGGACTGTTTTGTAATTGGAGGTTCCAAAATCTTTTTTTTTTAATCCACTCCATGTGGGGAGTACAGCTATTTGAGCCTCTAGCATTTCTTCTACGAGAGATGGATTATTCTCTCTAGACTGAAGAAGATGCCAGTTACCCAGAATTGGGTGACCGCGGGAGGGTACAGAACATCTTCAGTTCTTGGGTTAAGATTATGGTTTGATGTTGGTTAAGAGCCAGGCTTTGCTAAAGACCATAAAGGGGAATGGAAGTGGGGGCAAGAAATCCACCGTTAAAGACTCTGATTCCTGTCTTTTGAGTAAATCATGTTTCAAAGACTAGTCCTCATATCATTTATACGGTTTTATATATGAGTGAAGACAACTGGAAAATGGCGTCTGAAGACAATGCCTAAATATATCGCTTTAGGTTGGTTAAAATTGCCCATTTCTTTCATTTGAAATGTCTACTGTCTTTGGGCCAGTGATAAGTGAATTCCACAGTGAGGTTGGCTTGAAGTGATTGGATGTCACCTTCTTCTTTACTTTTAGAAAATGTTCCCATTTAGGATTTTTTTTTCTCTTCTCATTTAGGACCTGGGAAGAGCCAACAGACAGAGGCCCAAGGTAAGTTCATCCTGTCAGCCCTCTGCTTCAGCTCTTCCAATACCTAGTTGTCTCTGAGACTAGTACAGATCTTGGGGGTTAGCTTATGGCTTATAGTTATCTTTTCGGTTCTGACTTACACCACCTTGGTTGTGTGTGGTTTCTTTTTGTTTTTTGTTTTTGTTTTTAAATATCCTGTAGCCTCCAGCACCTGAAGATCTTGCAGTCATTTGTTTCACCAGTGGAACTACAGGTAAGTTTTGAAATGCAGTCGCTTCTGAGTGGTGTCTGGAGGTGTGTCCCCCATACCCCCCCTTACTTGGATGGCGGGTGATGTGGGACTTAGTTGAGCTACAGATGGTCTGAAAGCAGACGACATAGGGGTTCGAGCACTCTTCCCCGTCACTGTATCTGACCTTGGAATCTGAGTGTGCTGTGCACTTCCTCAGATGTTTATGGGAGCGGACGGTAGATTCCCCTATTTCCTGGGACAAACCAACATTTGATTTCCAGAAATAAAATACCTGCATTTTCTTACATGCCCTCTAAAAGTCACCCGTGTTAGTAAAGGTTGTTCATGATAAGAAGTTTCACATAAAGGATGGCAGATTTTTCCAGAATGTAAGGTCATTCTGCATTTGGCTCTCCTGGGTGCACCTAATGCTAGAGGCATAACCCAGTTACATAGGGTTCTGGGCTTCCTTAATTTCGTTCACTTTTGGATGGACTTTCTTTAACTTTGTTTTGCTCCTGTGTGTTCCTCAGGCAACCCCAAGGGAGCACTGATCACTCATGGAAATATAGTGAGCAATTGTTCAGCTTTTGTGAAAGTCACCGAGGTAAACTTTGGGGGGTATCATCATCTTCCTTCATGTTCCTTGGTTGGCATGAGGCCTCAAGAATGAGAGCGGGAAAGGCAGCCCCACTTTGTTAGGCCCCTGCAGTGCTGGAGGCATAGTTAAGAGCTGAGCGCTATTATAGTCTAAGGTCACCCGCCCTCAAATCATTTTCATTGTGGACCTCATCCCCCAAGTCCTGTGTGTGACCGTAAAGCTAAGTTGACAGACAGAAGTTATTACAACTTTTATAGGGTACAACTTTATTTGGATACTGCCCTATAACTGTTTCCAGGACAGAACCAAGAAGAAATGACTCTCTTGTGCCCTTGTCCACCTACTATTCCAGTGCGGGGAAAATAATTTAAGTAGACAAATGAAATCTTAATGGGATGCAGAAGGTTTTTGAATTATTGTTCCTTATTGCAATTGACTTCACTTCCATTTTATGAGAAAGATTAAAGCCTTGACCTTTAGTTGGTTTCCTGTCATCTTAAAGTTTGCCCGTACACCCCCCCCCCCCGCCCCGGTGTGTCCTAGTTCTCTGTGTGGCCATAACAAAATCCCACAGGCTGAGGGCCTTAAACGACAGATATTTATTTTCTCACAGTGCAGGAGGCTGGAAATCCATGATCAAAGTATCAGCAAATTCGGTTGCTGGTGAGGGCTCTCTTCCTGGCCTGTAGGTAGCCACCTCCAGAATTGTGTCCTCACCTGCCCTTTCCTCTGTGCACACATGGAGAATGAGGGAGAGGTTTCTGCTGTTTCTTCCTCTGCTTGCAAGGACACCCACCCTGTTGGATAAGGTCCCCCACCCCATGACCTCATTTCACCTGAATTACCTCCCCAAGGGCTCCATCCCCAAATCCAATCACATGGGGGATTAGGACTTTAACATAAATTTGGGCAGAGGGGATGATACAATTCGGTCCAAGCACCAAGGATATATTTCAAACTTGAGTTTTAAAAGTCCTTCTCAAACAATATAATGCCTTTCCCTCATAACAGTGTCTGGGAGGGTTCTTCTGTGAGCCCTAATTTTCATGACCGGAGCCCCCATGCTTAATGGTTTTGGGGAATACATGTCTTTGGTGGCTACGGAAGGCCTAGCTCCCTCCTGCCTACACCCACACTTTCTTAGTCCCAAATACCTATTTTGGGGGCATATATTTCATAAACAGAATTCAACATTTAGCACCTCACCTAAGTAGAATTTTAATTTCCTAACTAGCCTTTGAAGAAAACTTAAGATACACTCTTGGCTTACTGAGGCAAATGATTACAAACTTAGTTTAAAATTAATGATACGATCAAGGGCATTCTCAACTTTGTAAAACTTCTAATCTTGCTAATGCACATTTTCTTTTGAGTACCAAATCAAAAATTGAAAAGTATGGGGCGCCTGGGTGGCTCAGTGGGTTAAGCCTCTGCCTTCGGCTCAGGTCATCATCTCAGGGGCCTGGGATCAAGCCCCACGTCGGGCTCTCTGCTCAGCGGGGAGCCTGCTTCCCCTTCTCTCTCTGCCTGCTGCTCTGCCTACTTCTGATCTCTCTCTCTGTCAAATTAAATAAGATCTTTAAAAAAAAAATTGAAAAGTATAAAAATTATAGAATCTGACTTCTCATTATACAAGCAGTTACCTCCTGAGATGAACTAGTTGGGATGCAGACCACACTGGAATAAAATTAATCTAAGATTGTGGCAGGATCAGGCTACTGGGTTTGCTCCACACTGGTGGGGGTTGGGCACGGCCTGGGAGCGGATGCATAGGCACCTGACTGGCATGGTGGCGGCTGCCGGAGGTCCTTTCTTACTTTGGCCAGAATTCCTTACACATGAATAACATGAATATTCCCCGTAAAACCCTCACTATGCCTGGTCCTAAGTAAAGACCATTCTTAGCCCTGCGATGGAAACCAGATGTCCAGCTTAGCCTCGATGCAGACCTCTATCACAAATCAGCATTTTATAGGAGACGGGGCCAGAGGAGAGCTCTTGCACTAAAAGCAAATCGATATAGTGTTCATGGGGTGTAAAGCAGGCCACTCGGGTAAAGATCTTGATCAAACTAAAATACTCAAAATGCATTTATACTATAAATTAAAAGAGCTTGGAAATCAGTTTCTCTTATCATCCCTTCTCCTATCCCTTTATAACATAAAATGCTATTTTATGTTGGAGTAGATCATCTATTCCCACAACATAATATGCTATGTTATGTTGGAATGGACCTTTTATGTCTTACTTATGGTGGAATTGAGTTTGCTGGGTGGTGGGGTACAGTAACTTTGGAATACTAAATGATTAAAGCACGTCATCCCTTGATATCCCAATTTGGGCAAAATTTTCCCTGTTTGGGCTAAAATCCTGAGTGGGTTTCCTTTACCATGAGGAATGACCTCCACTCATATTGAAAATGAAGTTATTAAAGCATTGCCTTTTCATTTTCATCCTTCTGTGAGAATTAATGGCAGATTGTAAGTGAAAGCTGCTTTCTCTTTAGCGTTGAGGTATCATGTGCTCTGAAATAAAAACGGGAAATTACTGGGAATCTTAACGCTTCTCTGCTTGCCGGTGTCTTTGCTTACAGAATGCAGTCAATCCTTCCCCAGATGATACTTTGATATCTTTCTTGCCTCTTGCCCACATGTTTGAAAGAGTTGTAGAGGTAGGCCTTCTTTTGTTGTTCTGCGTGCACTTGCTTGTTTGTTTGTGTTCTGCTAAGTTGTTGTGTTTTCCAGAAAGTACTTGCCTTGAATGCCAGTGACATACACATTTCATTTTTACCACTTGCACACATGTATGAGCAACTGATAAAGGTAAGTTTTCAGGGCAGAGTGTCATCCCCAGAGAGAATTGTTTGCACGGTCCCCTTTTAGAAATGGTGCTAATTACTTAAAAGAATATAAATGTTGGGGGGGGACAGTCTGAGTACGTGAACTTTAATCATTCATTTTAAAATTAGAAGCTCAGGCTTCTGCAGGAGATGCACCTGGGCACGATTCCAGAAAGATGAACTGTCAAAGTAGAATTTTTATGAATGCCATCCTGCAAAGCTTCACGAAGCCTCTGCCTCTATTAAAAAGCTGTTGGTTTTCCTTGGGGTTGTTCATAATGTGCAAGTCAGCTTCAGATTCATTTTTTTCACCAATATTCCAAGTGCCCTTGGAAAAGTAGGATGATCTTTAGCTGACCTTAGCCTTGCCTCCCTTTGTATGACTGTGTGACGACAACCATCTCTAACTTCTCCAACAATTTTGGATCCTGTACTTTAGGAAAAAAACAGTGGGCACCATCCATTCATTTAACAAATATTTATTGAGCTCTGGCTGTATGCCAGGCACTGTGCTGAGTGTCAGTGACTGAGACTAATCGAGAGGTGACTAAGGCGAGTGGCCCTTTGATCGGCTGCTGGCCCTTAGGGTGCACTAACCCTAAAGGACCAAGGGTCATGAGATCCCATCTTGGGTCTGTTACCTCTCCTCCTGCGCACCTCAGGAGATCTTGTGAGTTTCCAAAGCGATCTCACACGGGTTGATAATGGCCCATATGTACCTAATTGCAGTTTGGGATGTGTGCCTGGGAGGCAGGCCATCGAGGACAAAAGCCTTCCTCGCCCAGCTTGAATTTTTAAACCATGAACCAGGCTGGGCGTACCTTTCTAGTGGTTTCTGCTTTCAAGCCTGAGACCATTTGTACTTCCGTGGTGTCATCTTTTGAATCTCTCTCTCTCTTTAAAATTTAAAACAACCAAACTGTGGGTCAAGTGCATACGGCTTGCCGGTGCGATTTGCATCGGGTGGGAACATACGCATGGAGTAGATCAGAGCTGAACGTTAAGCCACTCTGCTCTTTGACACCCTAGTGTCTCAGCTGCAACATAGTCAGTGGCTTTTCAGACATTTTTTGGCGAGATTCAGATTTTTAAAAATGAGACTTTAATACGCTTGGCAAGTAGCCAAGTTTGCAAGTTGCTCTGTTATTTGGAGAACAAATTAGGCCTAAATTTTCTAGGCAAGTGAAATACTGGGATTACTTAACACCCTGTCATTCACTCACCAGCTGTTTATCCTAGAGCTGAAATAGCAGAAACTCCATGATCATCACTAAAAACAACGTAGTCTGGTCTCTTACCAGCTCCTTTATTTTCAGGGTGATCAAGAGAAAGACCACACTCTGATGTTGTGTAATGACCAGGGAAGTCAAGAATGTTTTTTGAAAAGTGACCAACATGTAGGAACTTCGTAGTTTCTGGACACTGGTCCGAAACGCTAAAACAGAAGCCTTGTGTGTCTGTGTGTATGTTGTGTGGTCCCTGCTTTGATGAAGACATGGGCATTACTTTTGTTTCCTGCTCTAGTGTGTAATGCTGTGTCATGGAGCTAAAATAGGATTTTTCCAAGGAGATATCAGGCTGCTTATGGATGACCTCAAGGCACTTCAACCCACAGTCTTTCCTGTGGTCCCCAGACTGCTGAACCGGATGTTTGACCGAGTAAGTTCCAAGGAGCAGCAGAGTGGGGACAGAGCACTGGACAGGGAGTCCGAGACTCTGGTTCGAATTGGGCCAGCCGGATACCTTCTGTACACTTGGTCTCGCAGAAGTGTGGCTTATCCATCAGTAAAACCAGAATGCATTTATATCATAGAACCATTGGTGAGGATTAGAAGAGAAAACACATGTATATACTTTGTAAACCGGAAGGCCCAATACAGGCGGAAGGTGGGAGATCATATTATTTGTACCATACACACTTTAGAGCTTCTATTTTCTCATCTGCACGATGGACTGTTACCTCCTCCCCCTGCTGTCTAGCTCATAAAGTTGCCAGTTGCATCACATGAGAACTATAACTATGAAATGGTTCTAGAAATTGTAACATTCATAAGCACATAACATTACTTATTTAGCCACACAGAAAGAAGTGACAAGCCAAGCCAGGGATGGAGAGACGGCCAGCCCCTTGGGGCAGGGAGGTCACTGTGGCACGGACCACCCATCCTGGGTGAGACCAGTGTGTGGCATGAGCAGTCTTAAAGGTCAATTTGGATGGCATAGTTTTCATGTTCTTTATTGTAAGGCAGGGCTTCTGTGATCTATGAGAACCTTTGGTGTTTTTTCTTAATGGTCCTTTAAAAACAGCTTGACTGAGATACATAATTCACATTCCATATAATTCACCCATTTAAAGTATAAAATTCAAAGGTTTTGGGTATATCCACAGAGTTCTGCAACCATCACCATAGCCCGTTTTTATCACCTCAGAAAGAAACCCTGCATCTGTCCTGTAGCTGACCTCTACCCCCTTCCACTCCCAGGCAAATGCATCTGATTTTTGAATCTATAGATTTCTCTATTCCAGACTTTCATATGAATGGAATCACGTAATGTGTTCTTCCGTGATGGGTTTCTTTCATGAGGTTCATCTATATGGTGGCTTGTGACTCTACTTCATCCCTTTTAATGGCCAAGTAATATCCCACCGTGTGGCTACAACACATTTTATTTCTCCTGTCACGCATCAGTGGGCATGTGGGTTGTTGTCACTTTTTGGCCATTATGTATAATGATGCAATGAACATTTTCATTTCTCTTGGGCACTTACCTAGGAGCAGAATTGCTGGGTCCCATGGTACTTCTGGGTTTAACTATTTAAGGAACTACTGGTCTATTCTCCAGAGCAACCAAGCCGTATTACATTCCCTGCCCCCCAGCAGAGGCTGAGGGCTCCAGTTTCCCCACATCTTCACCAACACTTGTTATTATCTGACTTTTCGATTCTAGCCATCCCCATCATTTTGTAACTCTCTTTTTCCTTGACCCGTCAGATTTTTGGGCAGGCAAACACCACGCTGAAACGGTGGCTGCTGGACTTCGCCTCCAAGAGGAAAGAAGCAGAGCTCCGCAGCGGCATCATTAGAAACAACAGCTTGTGGGACAGACTGATCTTCCACAAGATACAGGTGACACATTCACAGCTCTTGTCTGCCTGGGGAAACGCACGTGGCCTTTGGAGTGTCTGTGAGGGCTCTTTCTTAAAGCGCAGTATGAAGCTGAGAGAGAAGGGCACGTTTTTAGTAAACCAGACACGTTTCTAAAAATTAAGGACAAAGCCAGTACTTAAACCTCAGTATCCCATGCAAACCTGAACAACATGGTAACATGAAGAGGCAGAAAAGAAATCTGGGCATTGGAGCCTTTCTAGTTTATTTTATTTTTTATTTTTTATTTTTTATTTTTTTTTTTTTAACTAAAAGTCAATTAGCCAATATAGAGTATATCATTAGTTTTAGATGTAGTGTTCAGTGATTTATCGGTGTAATTAAAAAAAAAAAAGATTTCTTTATTTGAGAGAAAGAGAGAAGGAGTGCAGGGGCAGAGGGAGAGGGAGAGGGAGAATCTCAAGCAGACTCTCTGCTGAGCACAGAGCCTGACGTGGGGCTCCATCTCACAACCCCGAGCTCATGACCTGAGCCGAAATCAAGAGTTAGGCGCTTAACTGGCTGAACCACCTAGATGCCCTGAGCCTTTCTAATTTTTTATTTTGCTTTCCTTTTCTGCAACAAGTATGTTATGATTGTCGTCATTTTATAGGCACGTGTGATTGAGAATATGGAATAATGATACTGTGTCCTGCAAAATGCCCCAGATGTGGTGGTTGCCTCCAAGCCCACCACAGTCTTGTTCTAATTCCTTCAGAATACCCGCAGGTAGAGGGGTTGGCTAGTGTTGAGAGAGAAGGGGGTAGCCTCAGCGGGCAACCAGCTACGGCCAGGCCTTCCTCTTTCAAACACCTGAGAGTTCTCTGTGCGGCCTGCAGAGAAGGAGCTGGTGGATCTGGGGACTGGGTTTCCAGAAGGGGTCTTTGAGGAACCCACCCACGTGCAGCTATTGGCCCCTCACTGTCTCCCCTCTCCTTGCCTTGCAAGTCGAGCCTGGGAGGAAAAGTCAGGCTGATGATCACAGGAGCCGCACCCGTGTCCGCCACTGTGCTGACGTTTCTGAGAGCAGCGCTCGGCTGTCAGGTGAGGTGGGCGTCCCTTCTGCTCCTTGTCTCCGGCTTTTGCCAGCCCAGGTCTCTCCTCTCCACAAAGGCATTCTTATAAGCAGGTGTCTTATTTTGTTTTGGAAGAGCACGTTATTCCCAGGTTGCTTGGAGACAGGAGTGTGTCTGTCTTGTCCCCTGGGCAGGAGGTAATGTGTCTGTGGCCACCACAGACTGGGGGAAGTACTAGCCAGGAAACTAGCCTTTCATCAGGCCTGAGGGGATGGGGATGGGTTGCAAGTGAGGAGCTAACCTGCAAACCCTGGGGAGAACCTGCCTTGAAGGGCGCGGGGAGGCAGCAGGGACCGGGTGACTAACAGGATAGGTGTGGGGCACAGCCATGAGCAGACAGAGCGAGTGCCTTCCTGGGCAGGTCATGTGCAGTGTGACCTGTCAGGCCATGTCAGTGTCCCCCTCGCCTGTCTGTAGGAGGGCAAGTAGAAGATGACTGTGGACAGCGGCCAGGGTTTCAGGTTCGGGGGGAGATCTTTGGGTGCCGTCGTAGTAGTTCTGAACAGATTTTAAAAAGAGACATGTTGCCACGGTTAGCCATCGCTCAGGAATGAGAAGAACGTCCTGATTTGTGCCCTCGCAGAACAGTGTGACTGTTCTCTTTACTAACGTTTCGTCTCTTGGTGGTCCAGTTTTATGAAGGCTACGGACAGACCGAGTGCACCGCCGGCTGCTGCCTGACTGTGCCTGGGGACTGGACAGCAGGTACGAGCCGTGGGACACTCCTTATGGGAATCTCGTTATTCCGATGGGAATTCTTAGAATTGGGTTTGTCCTTGGTCCTTTGAACAACGGAAGTTCTGTGTCTCAGGTGATCAAGCCTTGGGGCAAATGGCCTTGTAAATCAGGGATCCTCATGGAAAAGGGCTGCTGTGGCAGAGCGCCTTTGCTTGGAGGACCAGCCGGAAGGCGGGTGGTGGTAGAGATTCACCTAGAATCTGAAGCTGACAGCTGAGGGATGAAAGCCCTTTGCACCGGGTTCAGAACATTTGTCCTCACAGAGCTTTCCGGGAATAGATTTGGGTCAAATTATTTGCTGGTAAATTTGACTCAAGTTTACACTGGGTGCTGGGCTGGGAGTTGAGCCCACAGAGAGAAAGAAAGATGGCATTTCTCCCGAAAGGCATAAGGAGAGGCAGAAACAGAAATTACCCAGTGGAGCAGTTGTCCTTGAGCATGTCGGTGGTTTCATCCCAGGAGCGTCCTTGGGGCCCAAGTCCTGCTCCCTCTGACAGGAAGTGATTGTTGGTGGAAAAGCACATAAACAGTGTATAGGAACTTACCTAGCCAGAATCCCACCCCAGGTCTGACCAGTGGTACATTCTACGCTCTGGTAGGCAAACGCCACTGACATATTTGCTGTAGCATAAATGTGAGCACCGTCTGGGAACTTGGATTCTCATGTCCAGACTGTAGGAGCACAATTCTGCTGGGACTTGTACTGATGGTCTCTGAACCTTCTTCGTGGTTTAATTCTTAACCACTGATTCCTTACCAGACTAGAGAATCTCGAACAGTGATCTCTTTACACAGACATTATTAAAACATAGAAGGAATTATTTGTGTTGCTCTTAAAACCTATCTCATTTCTATTGTTTGTTTGGAAAAAGACAACCCAATCCTAGCAACTTCTGGCAGGATAGTTGAGTTAACTGTGAGAATGAGATTTTTTTTTTTAAGGTTTTACTTATTTATTTGAGAGAGAGAGAAAGAGATAGTGAGAGAGAGCATGAGCGAGGAGGAGAGGGAGGAGCAGGGAGCCAGATGTGGGGCTCCATCCCAGGACCCCAGGATCATGGCCTGAGCCGAAGGCAGACGCCCAACCGACTGAGCCCCCCAACCCCCTCCCCACCATCCTATCTTAATAAACTTAAATCTAAAACGTGTTCCCCTATACTTAAGGAAGTGAAGACCATCTTGGTCAGAACCAGCTGACGTCGAGAGAGTAATCCAGTTGCCAAAGCTGTGTGTTTTCTCTTCTTAGAGGAAGTAGGGAGTAGAGAAGTCTGAGTGAGGGAGATGGGGCAAACAGTGAGCACAGGCCATCAGATCATAGGAACCTGGTAAAGGTTTTGGAATGCTTGCTTCCGGGAATTTGTAGAAACCCTCAGTCCACAGCCCGAGTACTTATACTCTGAAAAAATAATTTGGGGCCTCAAACTGGGGAAAGGTCCTAAGAGACTTTGGAATGTTTGTCTCTATTCTGGAAATACACTGTCTGTGCTCACTTACCAGGGGAGACGGGCTGTCGTCGCTGCAGACAGAAATTTACACCAGCTGTTCTCCTCCTGAGTGGGCCTGTTGGCCATAAAAGTCATTTGGCTTAAGGGAAGTAGGAGTCCTCCTGGGAATGATCATTATTTTATTTTCCACGCAGGCCATGTTGGCGCTCCAATGCCTTGCAACCTTATAAAACTTGTGGACGTGGAAGAGATGAACTACTTGGCTTCCAAGGGCGAGGGCGAGGTGAGTGGCACCTCCCTCCCACCCCTCGCAAGTCGTTCACCCACACTGCCATTCCCCCTGATAGTTTGGCCGCTTGCCGGCAGCGTCACGTAAAGCCACCGAGCTTGATGTTCTTGGCGATCCTGGATCAAACAGGCTTCTCTTTGAAGGTACCCTTATGTGGGAGGGGACCATGCACGTCTCTTCAGCCAGACACCACAGGGACTTGGGCTTGAGACCGTGCAAAGGCTCCTATGCCTGAAGGCCTGGAGCATAGTTCCTGACAACTCATGGCCCTGGAGACCTATTAGTGAGCCACTGGCTAGTGGAAGGAAAGCTGATGACTTCAGAGTGATTTCCTCCTCTTTGGGGCTTTGAGCCGGAACCTCAGGCAGTCATCAGCCCTATAGCTTGACTGTGACTGATGTCGTTAGGGTAAGGGGACCAGAGGCATTGGATGAACCTCCAGGGTCCCAGTGTGGTTCCCTGCTAGCTCCCTCTGGATCGTGGAGTTCAGGGCTTCCCACTAAAGGTTGAGATACGCAACACACACACACACACATACACACACACACACATTTTCTCCATAGAATCCCCCCCGCCCCTGTAAATGCTCTTTACAGATCACCTTTGTCCCCCACAGTTCTATCAAGATGTCATTGACATACACGCTGTATGCGTTGAAAGGAAACGGCATAATGATTTGACATCCATCTATGGTGGAGTGATTACTCCCCACAATAAGTCTCCTTCATATTCCATCATCTCACAGAGATACAAGGAAAACAAAACAAAAAAAAAAACAAACAAACAAAAAAAAAAGATTTTTGGTCTTATGTTGAGAACTCTGAAGATCTCATCTCTTAGCTATGAAATACAGTCACAAGTCTGTGTGGGCGGAGGTCACTGGGCTGTACATTCAGTCTCCGATGCCTACCTGAGTCCTAACTGGAACTTTCGGCCCCCACCCTCCAATTCCCCCCAACCACCCCCGCTCCTGATCTTTCTCTCTTCAGGTGTGTGTGAAAGGGCCAAATGTATTTAAAGGCTACTTGAAGGACCCAGCAAAAACAGCAGAAGTTCTGGACAAAGACGGCTGGTTACACACGGGGGACATTGGAAAGTGGCTTCCCGTAAGCTCTCCCTTCCCCCCGTTCGCAGATACTTTTCTTCTGCCCGTTGCTGTTGTGCGACCTCACTTTCCCCTTCCCTGCAGAGGCGGGTAGTGGGAGGCTCTTCCATCTCCTCCAGGGAACAGCTTTATACTCATAGGGTGCCTGGGTAGGGTTTTCACTTGAAATGTAGCGAGTATGTTTGGTTTTGATGTGTGACATCAATTCTGATGGCTGCTTCCCATTCAAAATCCAGAGAGAACGGTGTATGGCTTTTTCTGTATCAGTGCTGGGCCTCCACGTGAAGGCCTTAGTTCCAGAAGGTACAGGGTACGTTGTGGTCGACGGCCAGGAAGGAGGTGTGGTGGGCAAGAAGTTGCGAGTGTATGTGTTTCTTAGGCTTGCCCTCCCCTTAAAAATAGGTAAGTGTCCCACGGGTTAGGCCAACGCCTTTGAATGTAGTCTCAGAATTATTACTGTAGACAAATGCCGGGGTCCATCAGAAGAGGGAAAAGAGCCTAAAAGAAACCACAACCGTGGGTTTGACCAGTTTGGCTGGCCGGGACCAATTCGGACTTGCTTCTTCTAAGTTGTCCCCGTGTTGAACTGCTATTACTGAAATGGCTTAGGCCAGTTTTATCATTGCATGATTTTATCATTGCATTGTCCCATTCTTGTAGATTTAAGGTGCATGAGACTCCCGGCAATTTTTACGGATTTGAAAAATGCTTCCCCTCCCCACCCAGCTAATTCAGACTTCAGAATACCAAGGTGTTCCAAAATACATTAAGTCCCTTCTTTCAAGTTCAAGAGGGATTAAGTGTCAGTCCAGTTCGGGCTTGGGCTCTGATGAACACTTTTCATCATCGCCTTGACCTCAGTCTGCTTCTTGGGGACGTGGTGCAGGACCAATATGCCAGAACCAGAGAAACTTCCCTGCAGCCGACTTTTGGAACCACAGGAAGGCCCCTGGGGGTGGGTTTTGACCACCAGAGGGGACACGGTGGCATTTGGCACGTCTGGTGCAGGGGTTGTATCCTTCCCACAGTCCCAGTGTGGGCCTGATGGACCTGCCCCAGGGCCCAGGAGTGAGCCCCCCGTGCCCCTCCCACCCACCCTCTCACAGCACCTCCCCTCCCCACCCTTTCATACACAGAATGGTACCTTGAAGATCATCGACAGGAAAAAGCACATATTCAAACTGGCACAAGGAGAATACATAGCACCTGAGAAGATCGAGAACGTCTACGTGCGGAGTGAGCCTGTCGCTCAGGTGTTTGTCCATGGAGAAAGCTTGCGGGTACGCACGTTTGGGGTTGTGAGCTGAGTCGCATGGGCGTGGCCGGGGCCTCAAACTCCGGGCTTTTGCAGGGCAATGGAAGGTCTGCAGTGAGGACTGAATTGCCTTTCTCGTGTGACGTGCTGGAACATTATCGGGGTTTGCTGCTTGGCCTTTCGCATCCAGAAAAATTTTTCTCTTTAAATCCCGTATTTTTATTTCACCTAGAGTGTTCTGGCATACCAAGGGCAGGATAAGGATACTAGGGGGTGGGTAAAATATGCTTCTAAATTTAAACTATGAAAGGAGATATTGATGGGTTGATTATAAGGAAGTTTAGAATTTTCAATATATTAAACCCATCGTATTTGTGCTGTGTCTCCAAAGTCGTGTGTGTGAGCAGTGCGGGTTGTGAGCCGGTAAATGCCGGTAAATACGTACAGTTGGAAACCAAGGTCAGAGACCGGAGCGTCTCATTGCCAAAACGTCAAGTAGGTGGTGTCAGGGAAGAGAAAAGGGCCTGGTCCCCTGAAAGCGAATCTTTTTACAAATCTTGAGACTTTTAAATACTTGTTGAAGAATATTATCTTATAAGGAAGGCGCCTGTTTTTCTTTGAGAGTATACCTGTTTTTCTTTGACCTAGAATCTTTTTTTTTTAAGATTTTATTCATTTGACAGAGAGAGAGAGAGAGAGAGAGTGCAAGAAGGGGGAGCAGCAGGCAGAGGGAGAGGGAGAAGCAGATTCCCCACTGAGCAGGGAGCCCGATGCAAGACTCGATCCTAGGACCCTGGGACCATGACCTGAGCCGAAGGCAGACGCTTAACCAACTGAGCCATCCAGGCATCTCCCTTTAACCTATAATCTTAAATACCGTCGACTTTTATGTAGTTTTATTGTTACTAAATTGTAAAAAATGCGGCATTGGAGACCTAAAAAAATGAATCTGTTTAAATTTTTTTCTCTCCTTTTTAAAGCAGTTACTTGATGTCTGTGGTCTCACTGCTTATTTGACCCTGTTTTATTAAACTGTATACATGCACACACACGCGCGCACGTGCATGCGCACAAAAGTAAAAAATTAGGGTTTCATTAGATTTTGATTCCCAGGGGTCCTTTTTAAGATATTTAATTGAAAAATTCCTGATGCCATCTGTATTTTAGAGCTGGGAGCGCTTAACCTGGGCACAGTAGACTCCTGGGGCTGATAATATGTTCTGAAGGGAGGGTCTGTAACTTCTGTCAGATTCTTCCAGATCTCATGCAAAATGACAAAGAATCGCTATTTCAGAACATCTGGATCAAGCCACCTAATAACTCACTTGTCTGTGTTAAAGGCATTTCTCATAGCAATTGTGGTACCAGATGTTGAGACATTATGTCCCTGGGCCCGAAAGAAAGGATTCGAAGGTTCTTTTGAAGAACTGTGCAGGAACAAGGTAAGGCTCGGGAGTGTGTGGTCGGCCTCCTCGGACCTTGGCTTGGCACAGGGCGTGCCTTCAGAGACCACCAACACAGCAAATCTGTCGTTTTCTCACCTTCCTAGGACGTCAAAAAAGCCATCCTGGAGGACATGGTGAGGCTTGGGAAGGATTCCGGCCTGAAGCCATTTGAACAGGTAAGATTGGCGTCACGGAGCCTGCACCCCTACAAAACCCATGTCTGACCTGAGGATTTTGTATGAATAGGTATGGAGCTCAAGAGGACCCTAAAGAGGGGCGCCTGGGTGGCTCAGTGGGTTAAAGCCTCTGCCTTCAGCTCGGGTCATGATCCCAGGGTCCTGGGATCGAGCCCTGCATCGGGCTCTCTGCTCAGCGGGGAGCCTGCTTCCTCCTCTCTCTCTGCCTGCCTCTCTGCCTACTTGTGATTTCTCTCTGTCAAAATAAATAAATAAAATCTTTAAAAAAAAAAAAAAAAAAAGAGGACCTAAAGAAACCCACGAGGAATGACAAAGGGCGAGCTTTGGCCTGGGGAGGGATTTCTATAACCGAGGGCAGGCATGCTCTTTTCCTGGAGGTCAGGATCCAAGCCCGGGGCCTGTCCTGGGAGCAGCTCCTGCCCTGTGTTTGAGTGAGCCACTGGCCTGAGACCCAGGAGGGACTGGATGGCCATAAGGTCTCCATCCCTTCCGACCAACGGGCTTTAAGGCCCGGGTTCCCTCGGCCCTAGGTTTTGCTTTAATGGCCTCATTTATTTGCAGGTCAAAGGCATTAGTCTTCACCCTGAATTATTTTCCATCGACAACGGCCTCCTGACCCCAACAATGAAGGCGAAACGGCCTGAGCTTCGGAATTATTTTAGGTCACAGATAGATGAACTTTATTCCACCATCAAAGTTTAATGCGAGGACGAAGCTGCGCACCTCCGCCGTCTCCTGGAGCTGCTGGCCTTCGCGGCGGTAATCTTGACTAGTGCGCACATAGGAAAGGGAGCACCCATGTTTGACTTGTGCATTCGGGGTTCTCGTCATAGGAACATTAGAGGAAACGGAACACTGCCTTACAGTCACCTCCTGTTGCAGACCGTGTTTATGGTGATACACAATTTCCTAAATGAGCCTTAAAATTGTCAAGGGGAAACTATCCATGGGCTAAGTTATTTGAAGCTTCCTCGGTATTAAAAAAAAAAAAAAAAAGGGTGAAAACTTCTGTCTCCCTGTTTTTCTAACTAAGGGGTTAGGACTTTGCTATTTCCGAGATGTCTGCTACTTGCTGCAAATCCTGCAGGTGTTCTGCTGCTCTGCAAAGTACAGTGCACTGGAGGGAAGCTGTCCCTTAAAAGCAAGGACTGTCCCAGCTGGAGGATGTCACAAGTGGACCAGAGATTCTTTCTTAATCCCTGCCTCCTCCCCTTCCCCGCCTCACATGCACTCCGACCGGGTCTCAGAGCAGCCGGGCTTCTCCACGGTCCCTCTTGTCCTGGAGGAGAAGAAGGTTCCCGGCAAAGAAGAGAACAGATCCCACTCAGACCAGCACAGATGCCGGGTCTCAGATGAACGGCTGCTCACCTGAGCGAACGGCTTCCGTTGCCCACAGAGCAGAATGTTCTCAGATCCTCTTCTCCAGACCCAATTCCCTCCCCCTCACCGATCCCTTCCCAGGGGTTATTAAAAAATCTGCCTTAGACTCTGCAGTGAAGACAAGCATTTCAAGAAGGAAATAATTACCTGGATCGACCATGCTCAACTGTGACGCCTAGTGAACTGTCCCCCTTTATCTCCGGCGAAACAGTCATTCTTTGTGATGGCTGACGGATTTTTAATGTGGTTTTCATATCAAAAGATTGTGTTGTGATTAAGTGGCTTTTTCCCACCCCCAGATCAATTCTCAGGCAGGGCATGTCTTTAAGCCTATTAAGGGAGTAGGTACGCTTGGGCACTTAGCGAAGTGGACAGTGAGAACGAATGGTCTTACAGTGCTACCTGATTTTTATGAAATGTGTTCCACAAGCCAAAATTCTAGGGTGTAGAAATCTGGAAAACTCATTTTCTGGGATTCACTTCTCAAGGGATTTTTTTGTTTTGTTTTGTTCTTTTTAAAGTTAATTTGGAAGTTAGCCGCATTTTACTTTACTGCAAGTCTTTGCCACGTGTGACCGAATGAAGTTGTCATGTTCACACTGAAAGCAGCTGGTGTGGGGTTTGTGAGAGTCTGTGTATTACCCACGCACGACAGGGTTGGCACTGAAGGACTGTCACCGTAGTAACACTATTGGGTAGCCTGGCTTCATCCGTGTGTTCTTAATTGCACAAAAAGTCAATAATTTGTCACCTTGGGGTTTTGAATGTTTGCTTTAAGTGTTGGCTATTTCTATGTTTTATAAACCAAAACAGAATTTCCAAAAAACAATGAAGGAAACCAAAATAAATATTTCTGCATTTCAAGCAAGTGAAAGCTTCTCTTTTCCTGTCAGGGCTCGGGCTTGGGTGCGCGCAGGCACCGAGCGGAAAGGACCCTGGGCCACAGACCCGTCCTCCCGCGGCTTCCCTGACTCCCCCATAGGGTGACCGGGGACCTCAGGGTTCTCTGGCAACTGCCCTGCTACGTTGCACAGAAGAAAACCATGGTGTGCATAATACGGATATTCTTGGAAATGCAAAATCTTTGCTGGGAAGCTCTGTTTCCGGAGACATTGGCTGTAGTTGGTGGTTCTGTGGGGGATTTAATTCTGTGTATTTTAGTAGTTCTCTTACTAAGCACTGTTCTAGAAGAGGTCTCAATTGCAGCAGCCAACCTGTTCTCTTTCCTTTTCCTCTGGTGTCCACGCTACGCTATCATCGTCAAGATTTCCTCTTCTGTAGGTGTTCGCCAGTCAGCCCCGGTTCCTTAGGTAGTCTGAGGTGTTGAAATCTGCCTCCCTCCCCTAAATCTCCTGTTTGGAGTGGAGATGTTCGTTTTTTTTCCTCTAAAACTTAAGGCCTGTTCACATATCTCTGGTGAGCCATTCTGCCTTTCATTTGAGTCAGTCGCTATCTCCCCTTTCTCTCCCTCTTCCCCTGAGCTGAGGGAAGTGTGACGTCTTCCCACTGGGCACAACCTTTCTTTTCCCTCCCTTAGCGCCCAACACAGCCTGCAAACCAGTAGGCGTTCATTTAATCTCCTGTGAACAAATGCTTGCAATTTTGAACAAAGCTTCCCCTGGGAGGAGGTTGAGGTTCATGCTGGGTTTTATCCTTTTTTTTAAAAAAAGTGGTAAAACACACATAACATGTATCATCTTAGTTACTTTTTTAAAGATTTTATTTGTTGATTTGAGAGAGAGAGCATGAGTGAGGGGCGGGGGGCAGACGGAGAGGAAGAAGCAGACTCCCCACTGAGCAGGGAGCCCGACGCGGGACCCGATCGCAGGACCCTGATATCATGACCCAAGCCAAAGGCAGATGCTTAATTGACGGAACCACCCAGGCGCCCCTCATCTTAATTATTTTTTAAGAACCCAGTTTGGAGGCATTAAGTGCATGCATGTTGATGTCCAACCATCAGCCCCTTCTGTCCACAGAACACTTTATCCTGTAAATGGGAAACTCTGCTCATTAACCACTAACTTCCATTCCCTGCCCCCCCAGCCCCTGGCAACCACTGTTATCCTCCCTGTCTCTGTGCATTCCCCTGCAGGTAAATCCTACAGCGTGTCTGTCTTTGGGACTGGTTAACTCCCTTATCGTACTACCCTCCGTGTCCATCCATGGTTTAGCACGGGTCAGAATTTCCTTCCTTTTTATTTTATTTCACTTTTGTTTATTTTTTATTATGATAGTAACTTTTATTTAGTGCCAGGGCAATTTATTGTGCCAAGAGCATATTTCCTTCATGACAAATTCAAAGCAGTAACCTCTGGCCTCTTTGAAGGACGACCATAGATACTCTTTGTTACACTCTTACTAATTCCCTTTGATCTTTTATTACGTTCAGTTAGCCACTGTGCAGTACATCGTTAGTGTTTGAGGTAGTGTTCAATGATTCATTAGTTGCATGTAACACCCAGTGCTCATCACATTACCTGTCCTCCGTCATGTCCATCACCCGGTTTCCTTCCTTTTTAAGGCTCAGTAGTAGTCCGTGGTAGGCACAGCCCACATTCTCTGTATCTCTTCCTTTGGTGATGGGCATTCGAGTGGTTCATACCCTTTAGCTATTGAGAATAATGCTATTGAGATTAATACTATTAGTACTGTTAATTAACACTATTAGTAATCACTAATTACTAATAATACTAATAAAGACTAATTACTAATTAATAATAATACTATTAATAGTAATTACTATTAATACTATTGAGATTAATAATAGCTATTGAGAATAACTGAGCATGGGTGTACAGATACCTCTTTTAGTCCCTGCTTTCAATTCTTTGGGTGTGTACCAGGAAATGGAATTGCTGGGTCATATATATGGTAATTCTATGCTTTATTTGTTGAGGAATTGCCATCCTGTTGGCCCCAGTGACTGCACCACTCGACATCCTCACGAGCACAGTACCAGGGTTCCGATTCCTCCACATCCTGTTTATAAATGTCCTCTCTGGTTGGTTTCTGTGTTTGTGATAATACAAATCCTAATGGGCGTGAAGTGTTATCTCAGGGTGGTTTTGCTTGGCATTTCTGTAATGATTAGTAAGGGCGAACATCCTTTCCTGGCCTTACTGGTCATCTGTATATCTTCTTTAGAGAAGTGTCTCTTCAAGCCCTTTGCCTATTTTTACAAATTGGGTTGATTGTGCATTTCATGGAGCTCTAGGAGTTCTTTATATATTCTGGATACTAATCCCCAAACACTGTCTTTCAATTCTTAACTTCCGTGGTGCACTGTCTGGGGTCCGAGCCCTGTTCAACAGCAATACAGTGGCACTCTTCCCACTAATCAGAGCCCAGTGGTCTGTGTCTCAAACCCAGCTAGAACAGAAGACAATGGCTGCCTTGGAATGAGACAATCCTCTCTTCTGTCCAGACCTCCTGTGTGTTAAGCTTGGCTTAGGGACAGCCAGGGAGCAGGTGTCTCCCCACTGACAAGGGACGAGGAGGCGTGAGCAGGGTATCGCTAAAACCCCAGGGGTCTCTCTGCCCTCAGAGCACCTCCTGCCCCTCCCTGCAGCGCTCCCCCACCCCGGTGACACACCCCCATTCTAGATCTAAACTCAGAAAGGCTGTTTGTTGTCAAGTATATTTAGCATTTGGTAAATATTTTTGCCTCCCATTTCTTCGATTCCTTGGAAAAAGAAAAAACTAAAATGTGTCCGATGTTCCCACATGCCAGACGCTATTCTTAGCATTTTACCCAGATGACCCACTTTACGTTACAACCCTTGGAGCCAAATGCTGCCGCTGTCCCCGTTTTACAACGGGGAAATCTAGGCACACAGGGGACGTGATCATTGTCACACACCAAGCAGAATGGAAGCTAGAGCTGAGCTTCCAACCTCACGCTGTGGATGTTTCTTCTTGTCCACCTTCGGCCATGAACTTCTGACCAAACACGTCAGTAGGTGATTTCTCGGCCCTGCCCGTTCTGCGTGCAAGCGTCAGTACGAATGGCTTTGATTCCTATCCTACCATCGCTCTTTGTCATAGCAGGGCCTGATACCACTCCCCGGAGTTTTCTTCTGGTTCTATGGCTAATCCAAAATTAAATCTGGTTGCTCTTTTTGACGTTGGTAACCCCAGATCTGTCAAGGACTCAAAATCTGGTAGAACCAGTGCTCTGTTTTAGAGGAGAATGTGTGTGAGGCTGTGTTGCAGGCATATAGCTGATCCATGAGATCCCTTAGAAGTTCTAGAAATCCTCACTGATGGGGTCATAGCAGCTGCGGGTCGTACTAGGAAGTACCGTGTGCTACACTCCTGTACGATGCTGTTTCGTTCCTAACTTATGTCTCCATACAGGACTCTAGGGACCCGTTAGGGGTGAGTCCACAATTACCATCAGCTGCGCACCAGGCATGGTTCTGTGCAGTGGGATCACAGCAGCGAGAGCAGCAGACTAGACCCTTGCCTGGAACAGGCTCACCTTGTAACACAGAGAGAGGGATGGACCATCCACAAAAAAGCAATCGAATGAGTTCAGATTGTGATGGGCGCTCAGAGAAGAACTGAGAGTGTACTGGGGAGGGGACCACAGGGCCTGGTTTAAGTGTTGGGGTCAAAGAAGGTCCCTTTGAGAAGGTGACACTTATGGTGACGACATGAAGAATGAGGAAGGGGAACTGCCCTTGCAGGGTTTGGGGAAAGAGTGCCCAAAGCAGACTCGTGAGAAAGCAAAAGTGAGAAAGCATGGGATGTATTCTAGGATCTGAAAGAAAGTGAGGGAGGCCAGAGCATCATAAGTGAGGGCAAGTGTAGCATTGGAAACAGTTACAGAAGGCGGGCCAGGTTACCAGAAAGGAATCTGGAAGTGACTCTGGGTTCAGGAGGAGACCACTGAGGGGTTTCAAGGCAAGGAGTAACATTCCCTGAATTACCCTTTTCAAAGGCTGCTCCTGGCTGCCACAGAGGGATCAGAGAAGAAGCAGAGAGACCACCCAAGGGCGGCGTGGGGCATGATGGCGCTTGAGCCAGGTTGGTGGCCGCAGAGATAGGAAAGGGGTTGGATGTCGGGGTGTGAGCACAGTTGGGGAGACGCGCATCTGCACTCACTTTGAACTGGGAAGACTTGATGGGCTTTGGGGGAGGGAATCCGGAGGTTGAATATGGACAGTTTCTATTGAGGTGCCTACAAGACAAGCCGGTGAAGACGGATGGGTCTCGTGGACTCAGAAGACCAGCGGGGTGGAGATAACATACTGGCAAGTCAGCAGCAAAAAGAAGGTGTCAGAGACTTCGCCAGGTAACCCTGGGGGAACCAGAAAATCTGGATGGGAAATAGAGGAGTTCCCAAGACAGAACCAGCCTTGCATATCTGAAAGGGCATTAAGGAGCCAGCCACGGGGACTGAGAATTACCTGCCACGGAGGAAGGTGGGAAACCAAGCACGTGGTGTCCCGGAAGCCAAGAGAGAAAAGTTCCGGGGAAGGAGGGGATCAGTTACGTCACATGCTGTTGAAAGGTACAGTATGGTGGGGACAGAGGACCATCCACTGGATTCTGCCATGGTGACAACCCTGGACAGAAGTGTTCCAGCAGAGCAGCGAGGACAGAAGCCTGTTGGGAGCGAGTGTGGGCATGGGCTCCTGGAAAGTCAGGAAGATGAGCGAACTAGTCCTGAATTTTGCCGCTGCATGACTTCTGGTGCCTGGGTCACCTTTTTCGTTGTCCCTTCCCCTCCACAGTGTGATGTCCATCACCGTGTCGGACAAGTTTCCTTCATTAGCCAGTCCCCAGGTGCCCCCAATCTCTCCACTGTAAATGCACCCGTTTGCAGCGATGTCATGTCACAAGGTGGAGGTGGGTAA